CCCCCCCGCCGCCCTCATTTTTGGTCAATTGCTTGTTTCTCCTTAAAAACAATGTACCACCACCAAGTGCTTACCTGTCTGCACGTGCTTTGAATGCAATATAACGCGCTGCGTGCCCCCAGGATGCCGCCATCCACAACCACCTCCTCGCCCTCTATGCCCAAGAGGAGCAGTGGCGAGAAGGCCACAGACACCCTTCGTCGCCGCCTTCCACTAGGGGGTACAAGGCGTTGTCGGGGGAGGGGTCTGTTTCGGGGTCGGGGTTGACGCAGCAGCAGCAGCAGCAGCAGCCGTCGTGGCTAGCAGAAGGTGGCGATGGCGGCGGGGGAGGAGGTACGTGCTGCGTGCTTTTTTCGTTCCGCGTGTCCCCCCGTTACGTGCCTGGCGGCTCGTCGCTCTCCGAAACGGTCTGTCGTGCTTCGCCAGGGAATATTTTAACGATTGCAGGGCCTAAGACTCACCAACATATTTATTGTTTGTAGGAATGTCTTCGGCGTCATTTCGGTGGGAAAATGTGTCGGATTTTTTTTACATCCTTTTCAAGTATTGTTTTTCTATCTACATCCATTATGTTATCTTTTTTCTTGTCTCGCTTCGCGACTGGCTGAGGTAGAATCAGTATTTTTTTTTCTACATTATGTTCAGCGTTTATCATTTTATCTACATACATTTTTTTTCTTCTTGTCTCTCTTGGCGACCGGCTGGGGTAGGAACCGCCCCAAGGACGGCGACGGCTAGAGCAACAGCTTCGGGGTCGTCGTCGCTTCTGGCGTTCATCGCCAGGCCGCCGGAGGAGAGGTTCTTCGACCCGATGTACGCCCTGCGGCTCTGCTCTCAGCACGGGCGGTCGCTGGCCTGCGTGCACCTGTACTCGGCGATGGGGCTCTGGGAGGAGGCTGTTGACCTCGCGCTCACAGGTGAAAGGCGAGAGACAGAGGGAGACAGAGAAGGGGCGCGTGACTTGAGACAAAAATTCGATCGAAGACTATCGTACATCATCGTAGATCAGGACAGGCACGCCAGGCGATGAGGAATTCGCCGATCGGACTGATCGGAGCTTGTGTGTGTGTGTTGTGTGTTGTGTACCTCTCGTTCTCCGTCCTTCCTGCCAGCTCAAAGTCGAACAACAACCGAACCAGTTGTATAATCAGAACACAATGACGTGAAAAAAAAACGGCGACCCCACCCCCACCCCTCTCCCCGAACCACACGGAATCGTCAGTCGACACGGACATGGCCAAGGCCAACGCTAACAAGGCTCCGGACCCCGAGACAAGGAAGCTGCTGTGGCTCAAGATCGCAAAGAGGGGGGTGGAGCGTTGCCGCTCCACCGACATCGAGGGGACCATGCGAGTATTGCAGGTGAGTTGGTTTCGGTCGCCGTACCGTTTTTNGGGGGGGGGGGGGGGGTGACGAAGAATGATTACTCTGCGGTGGTTGCATGCCATATTTCTTTCCAAGCGGGAAAGGGGTGACTTGGAATTTTTGTTGCTTCGTTCTTGTTCTGGTCGCTACCCAATTTTCATCACGTGGTATTTATAAGTTGTCTCGCGGGAGGCGTTCTGCTCTTGACGGCCCGTATTCATAAATTGTCTCACGGTAGGCGTTATGCTCTTGACGGCCCGTATTAACAAATTGTCTCACGGTAGGCGTTCTGCTCTTCACTGCCCGAAACGTGTGTCCTCTGCTCACCCTCTCCCGTGTAGTGCCTGCTTCAACCTCCTTCGTAATTGTCAGCACGCACGCTTTTTCGGGTGTGTACCTCGCCATCTCTCTGCGGACGAGCCTACAACGCCCCTTCTCTTCCCCCCACCGGCATACCTGCCGGCCATTGGCAGAGTATTCCTAATGCCCCCCCCCCCCCCCCCCCCCCCCCCCCCCCCCCCCCCCCCCCCCCCCCCCNACCTTTAGCCCCCCCCCCCCCCCCCCCCCCCCCCCCCCCCCCCCCCCTGGTCCGGTGAGAACCCGACACTCTCCGTCCGGGCTTCATAAGGATGCGAAGTCAATGGTCTAACGACTGCGGTATGCCCCCCCTCCCTCATCCTTCCCCAGCCCCTCCCGGTGTTTGCCATCGGGGTTGGGTTTTCGTCGCTTGGCAACGACGTTGTAAAACAAGCC